CCTGAGAGACAGTCCCCAGGCAGAGTAGGCCTTATATTTATACCTCTGTGGTGGAACCTGCTAGAACATCTTGCTTACTCAGCCTAGTCAGGTGGTCAGGTCATATGACCAAGGATGAGGTCATATGAGGTCATGCACAGCCATGCACAGCAGGTCACCTGACCATCCAATCCTTCCAGCAGGTTCCAGCACATGCCAAGGTATACCAGCTACTTCCATGTCATAAAGGCTTAGTCATGTCTCTTGACCAAGCAATGAGCTGGTGCCCTAACAGACATATGTGCTACCATGGCTACCTGTGCTACCTGCTTCCTATGACATCTTTCTGGAAAGCAATTGTCTGTCTGCCATGTCTCAAAAACTCAATGGCCTCTTTGCATTGACTGCAATTGGGACAACAGAGGGCTTTGTGCAAGGACTCCAGCCCCCATCCAACATGGTTCTCACAGGTTGCACCTATCATCGCATGCTAGATGTGGCAAACCCAACACACTCAATTCATTGGTTCCTTTACAATCAGCAGGAGAGAACAGATAGAGGGCACAGGATGAACATATCTCCAGATTGGCTTGCAGCAGTCTCAGAAGCATTGGAATGCCATAACCCATACATCCATGAACTTCTCCACTTTCAAGATGATTCCTTACCAGATACAGCTATGCTAGAGCTCCCTGAGTTCACTGTAGCTGGAGACTTTGCAGCAATCATGCATGCTAACAATTCAACATTGGTCAATCCACATAGTATCCTGATATGGCGTCTGGGTATGTTGCTCCTTTCACATATGAAACTTGGCTCATTTATTTTCTAGGGGATGATCAGCCATCATATATCAGCATCCTGAGCCAGCATTATGAGCTGCTGCAGTATCCCTTGCTGTTTCCTCATGGGACACTGGGATGGGGCATCATAGAGAACAATGGCCAACAGGCCAGAATACAACAATGCTATGTAAATGCATATGGTGTTACCCAGTGTCAGTGGTACTTCTCCTGCCTAATAACAGAGGACCAATTCCTAAACTTTGGTTGATTGGCCAATGAATACATTTGTGACAGCTTCTCCAGAATTGAGGAACAATGTCTTGACTATATCAGACATGCAAGAGAACATCATGCAGAAGGACTTCACCCACCTGATGATCGCAATGAAGACAGAGAAGATAGTGAAGATGACGAGGGGCCCATCGATATTGACCTACCTGCAAGCTTCATTGGATCACGCAAATGGGCAAGTGAGCAAACTGCAGATGCACTTGCCCTTGCTTGAGCTCATGGTCAAGCCACTATCTTCATGCCAATGACATGCAATCCCAACTGGCCAGAGATTAGAGAATGCTGCAGAGGGGGCCAGGATGCCTCAGATATTCCTGTGGTTGTTGCACAAGTCTTTAAGGCATGACTGCAGCACTTCAATGACCTATTACAGCAGCACTTTGGCAAACTCCTCTACATTATCCAAGTGGTAGAGCTTCAGAAACATGGCCTACCCCATGCACATATAGTTTTCAAGGTATGCCATACCTGCATAGGTATTTGTTTAATGGAAGCCTGAATATATTGCTAGGTCCACCCCAAGCTCCCACCAGATCAGATAGATCACATAATCAGTGGTCACATTCCAGAAGAACCCAAATTAGCAGCCAAGATTGAATGGTGGATGTCACACCCAAGAGACCATCTTCACCCAGACACATACCATTGATGTAATCATGATGGGAAATGCATCTATAACTTCCCCCAACCACTTGCTGACCATACCTGGATCAACAAAGAAGGTCATGCAGTGTACAAGTGCTTCACTGAGAGGGACCAATGGATTTCATCACACATGCCTCTATTTGTTGATGAGCTTGATTGCCATGTCCATGCTGATATTGTCAGTTCAACACATGTCTTCATCTACCTTTACAAGTATCTCTATAAAGGCCCAGACAACACAATGTTCAATATTCTGGATCCAAACCATCCTCCTAGGGATGAGGTCAATGACTATGTTAAAGGTTGATACCTCTCAGCCTGTGAGGCTTCTTGGAGAATTCTTGGCTTTCCTATATCAAAACAAATCCCTGGCCAATCATATTGACACAATGGTGGTCAGTCAACAGCCTCAACACTACTTCAATACTTTGCCATGCCATCCAGCCCTACTCCCTTTGCTATATGCAGAATACTTTTCAAGATATACCTTGAATGCATGGAAAGGAGACCACCCTCCTGGTGCATTCCTTGAAGAAGTGCAGCCAGGAATGCCACAGAAAGTGATCAAACCAAGAACCACAGAACACCATGCCCATTTGCAAAGCATCTCACCATCTTTGGGGGATGTCTTCCACCTTCAGTGTTTACTCCAACACAAGGCCGCAAAAAGCCATGAAGAGCTATACTGTCAGGGCACCAGCTCATTGCTTGGTCAAGAGACATGACTAAGCCTTTATGACATGGAAGTAGCTGGTATACCTTGGCATGTGCTGGAACCTGCTGGAAGGATTGGATAGTCAGGTGACCTGCTGTGCATGGCTGTGCATGACCTCATATGACCTCATCCTTGGTCATATGACCTGACCACCTGACTAGGCTGAGTAAGCAAGATGTTCTAGCAGGTTCCACCACAGAGGTATAAATATAAGGCCTACTCTGCCTGGGGACTGTCTCTTCAGACTTGGTCTCTTAGGATCATCCACAGGTACCTATACTGTAGATAGGTCTTAGTCATCAGGTCTACTCCACTTCCTTGTTGCCTGCTTAGACTCTTGGCACTCTTAGGTGAGTAGACTTAGTCAGCCTGTGTTGCCCTAA